AGTGACCCCGGGACAGTCCAGCCAGCCCAGGGCTGGCCCAGCATACCCAAGACAGCCAGACAGTCTTAAGGGCAGCGATTCAGGGACATCTCACGGGGTCCTGGCATTCCCAGGCTCCCAGCTGTGACAAGCTGGAGGGGCAGCAGTTTGGGGGGCATGTGACCAGGGAGGTTTTTGGGCAGATGATACCCAGGCATGCAGGGGAGGGATAGACAGGGGTGTTTGTTTTCTTCTGTCAACACTTCCTCATTCTTCCGATGAAGCAAGCGATGGGCTTGGCTGGCTGCAAGCCAGGCAGCATCTTACAGCACTCTGGAGCTCTGACCGGCCAGAGAAGCGTGTGGGATCAGGCCTCCCTGGCACCTCAGTGCACCAGACACTGCTGGTTGGAGAAGGGGTTGTCACAGGGCAGTGGGATCTCAAGTAGTCATGCGAGCTCCCTTATGCTCCCTCCCACCCTTGGGACTCTGAGCACAGCCTGGCTTTGCAGAAAGATGCCCACATGCTCTGGAGGTGCCTTTCTCCAGATCCCAGCAGCTCCGGATTCTTTCAGCCCTGCTCTCCAAGGCATGCACTGTGTCAAGTCCTGGCTGCCAGCAGATGCTGGTGGGCAGGCTTCAACCCAGGCCACAGCTGCCCCATGCCCACTAGATGCCTGCTGTACCGGGGCGGCTGTCCCTCCCCCTCCTCCTGCCACCATGCACGAGGAACGTCTCCCTGTGGTGACGAATCCAGCTGAATCCAGGCGCAGGCTGCGATGCAGTCAGTCACCAAGGGAGATTGTACCACGTGCATCCCCGCAGCCACGGGGAACGGGGATCAGGGCTTCCCTGCGAGGTCCCCCTCAGCTCCCCATGCTTGGCCATGCTCTCCAGAGGCTCTGGCAGTGCCTGCCTGGGATGGCAAGCAACCCTGGGACATGACCCTGTGCAGATCCACTTGCAAAGGGGTGCCCAGCTGCCCCCAAGGAGGGGGGCATGGTGCTCCCTGGCAGGGAGGCAGGCACAGAACCCTTGGGTGCAGCAGAGGAGAGGGGAGCTGCAGCCAACAGAGCCCAGAGCAGGACTGATGCTGTGGATGTCTCCCAACTGATTTGTGAGCCTGTGGCCCCAGGGCCATGCCCTAGAGGTGACAGCCTGCTCTGGGAGCAGTCCAGTCATGCCCTGGCCTGGCTCTGCCCTCCTACTGCTGATCATTAACCACCTTTTTGAGTGGTGAGTTCAAGGACCCACTCAGGGACTGTTGTCCCCAGGTTAATCAGAGCTGGGGACATGCTGGAAGCGCAGAACATGGACCTGCTGATGGCTGCTGCAATGGTCCTGCATCTCAGCACAGACCTGTGCTTGACAGTTTTCCTTGTCCCTGCTGTCCTCTCTTGGTCTTCCTTCCCCAAAAGACCCACCAGGCTCCCTGTGCATCTCTGGGACGGGTGAGGGACATGCCAGTCTGTGCTGGGAGTCTGTGCCTGGTGTGCTTAGTGCTGGCAGAGGTAATGAGCCTGGAGACACCAGCCCAGGCCATCTGCAGAGCACTTCAAGGATGGTACCAGCTTGGAGAGTCAGGAGCAGGTGCTTGGGCTCAGCTGATGCTGGGGGGTCCATGGGATGGGTGCAGAGGGTGCTAGGCACGTGCAGGGCAGCACTGGAGCAGGGAGGGTCTGCCCCAGCCCCTGTCCCATTCACCCTGCTATGGTTTGTGCATTGCAGGTGATGTCCCGACGTCTTTACGGCCCTATCTGGAAGTCGACCTTCGGGCATTATAGGAACATCAACATTGGGAGCCCAGTGGTGCTGGAGCAGCTGCTACGGCAGGAGGGCAAGTATCCCATGCGGAGTGACATGGCCCTGTGGAAGGAGCACCGGGACACCCGGAGCCTGCCCTACGGACCCTTCACTGAGTGAGTCCTGTCCTGGCTGTCCTCTGTGGAACAGCACACATCTTCTGTCCCTTCCTAAGGTGCCTAGGTGGCAGCTTGCATTGCTCCCTCTTCTGCAAGCTGCATGTCCCCACCAAGGAGAAGGGCATGGCCATGGCCATGGTGGGTGGAAAGACCCCTGGGGTGGTTCCAGGCTGGAGTTGGGAGTGTTGGGACACTGCTGCCAGCCACTGCCCCCTGCCCATCCGTGCGCCCGGTGCTGAGCCTTGCCCCCATCCAGGGAAGGGGAGCGCTGGTACCGCCTGCGCCAGGTCCTCAACAAGCGGCTGCTGAAGCCCTCGGAGGCAGTGCTGTACGCGGATGCCATCGGGGAGGTGGTGTCAGACCTGATGGTGCGGCTGCGGGAGGAGCGGAGCCGCAGCCCCTCAGGGGTGCTGGTGGGGGACGTGGCTAACCTGCTCTACCGCTTTGCCCTCGAAGGTAGGGGGTTCTTCCCCCTCACCCCTGCCCTACCCCATTCTTCCCATCCCCCCGGAGGTCTGGATGCTGTCTGTCCCCTACAGGGATTTCCTATATCCTCTTCGAGACCCGCATTGGGTGCCTGAAGCAGCAGGTCCCTGCCGAGACCCAGCGCTTCATTGACTCCATCAACCTCATGTTCAAGAACTCCATCTTCGCCACCGTCCTGCCCCGATGGAGCCGCAAGGTGCTGCCTTTCTGGGACCGCTACTTGAACAGCTGGGACACCATCTTCGCCTTCGGTGAGCAGTGATGATGGAGACCCAGCATGGTGGGATTGGACTCCCTAAGGACACCCAAAAGTGGAGCAGTCCCTGGCCCCATGTCCTTTTGGCAGCCCTTGCTCTGTCAGCACTGGGTCCCACTCTCTGTTCCTGCAGGCAAGACCCTGATTGACCGAAAGATGAAGGAGCTGGAGGGGCAGGTAGAGCGCGGCAAGGAGGTGTCCGGCTACCTGAGCTACCTGCTGGCCAGTGGCAGACTCAGCCTGGATGAGGTCTATGGCAGCGTGGCTGAGCTGCTGCTGGCTGGTGTGGACACGGTGAGAACTGCTGCCAGGAGATCCTTGCTGAGCTCCCATGCCCAGGGGAACCCATAGGGCCATGCTCAGCCCAGCCCCTGCAAGCTCTGGCCTGATGGCTAGGAGGCTGATGCTCCCCAGGGGCAAACCCTCAGGGATCAGTCAGGACAGATACTGTCCTCTGCTCTGCTCCCTGACGTGCTCCCCATCCCACTTTCCTCTGTGCCTGCTGCCCCTCACCCCTGACTTGCCTGCACACCAGAGCAGGGGTTCTCTGGTGCCATACTGGAGCTGTGCTTGGTACAAGGCTGCTCAGGTACCAGCCCCAATTCTCTCGCTCCCCTTGATTCTCCACTCCCCCAGACCTCCAACACGCTGTCCTGGGCCTTGTACCACCTCTCCCGGGACCCAGGCATCCAGGAGACCCTGTACCAGGAGCTGAAAGCTGTTGTGCCTGCCAGCCGGTTTCCTGCTGCTGAGGATATCCCCAAGTTGCCAATGCTTCGGGCCATTATCAAGGAGACACTGAGGTAAAGCCCAACCTTGCCCCTGCCCCAAGGTCCTGGTCATCAGCCCCTTCTCCAGGGGGGAATGCACCAAGGAGGCAGTATGGGAGGCTGGATTTCAGTCCCTCAGGACCACATATATCCACCTTCTCCCTAGGGAGCTGCTGAGAAGTAGGGAGTGCTCCCCCTTGTCCTGCCTGCAGCTCTCTCCCTCTGGGATCTCCAGATGGGTCCTGCTCCACCATTAATTCTTCCCATATCCCAGGGTCTACCCCGTGGTGCCCACCAACGCCAGGGTCTTCTATGAGAAGGACATTGTCATCGGAGACTACCTCTTCCCCAAGAATGTGAGTGGGGGCTGTGGCGTGGGGATCTCCACTGCCCTCAGTGGGGCTGGGTCGGGTCATTAACCCCCGCTTACTGCCCTGCAGACTCTCTTTGTCCTGGCACACTACGCGATGTCCCACGATGAGACCTACTTCCCTGAGCCTGAGCGGTTCCTGCCCCAGCGCTGGCTCCGGGGATATGGCTCCCCCCACCACCCCTTCAGCTCCATCCCCTTTGGCTACGGGGTTCGCGCCTGCGTCGGACGCCGCATTGCCGAGCTGGAGATGCACCTGGCCCTTGCCAGGGTGAGTAAGGATCCCCACTCTGGGTATCTTGCCATGAGCTGGGATGGGGGCCCCAGGGAGTCCCCAAGGCACTGCCACCCCCCTTCTTCCCACAGATCATCCAGGCATTCGAGGTGCGGCCAGACCCCCGTGGTGTGGAGGTGACATCTGTGTCCCGCATTGTCCTCGTGGCCGACAAGCCCATCAACCTGGAGTTTATTGCTCGTCCAGAAGCCCCCTGACTGCGTGTCCACCCCTGACCCTGGGTGCCAAATGGAGAACCCCCACTGCCCCACAGGGAGGGGCAGGCAGAAAGGCAAAACCATCCTCTGCCCAGCTTGGGTTGGGGGCTCCTAGCCCCACTGTGGGGAAGAGGGGGAGGATAAGAGATTGCCCCCAAATTGCCCCTGGGGCACTAGTAGCCCCCTATCCCAAATCAGCAGGAGGCTTGGGGAACTGCCGTGCCTTTCACACCCTTCAGGGGGTTGTGTCCCCCCCATCCTGTGCCCAGCTGGGCTACGTTGGGGACCTGGGAACTCTGTGAGGGCAGGGGGAAGCAGGGAGGGGTTTTGCAGCCGTTCAGTGTCTCCTTCATCCTGTCCTTGTGTAGCCGTGCGTGGATCTGTGCCTGGAGCCAGGACATCTGGGTCTTTTCTGAACAGCTGACCTTGGCCTCAGAAGCTTCTCTGTTCCTCAGTTTGACCCATGCCTCCCAGGGGAGGGTTGAGTGTTGGCCAGGTTTGGGGTTTGCACCTCTCCCAAGGGGCGGAGCTGGGAAAGTGAAGCAATAACACAGCTCATCCCCAGCGATGGGAAGAGGCCTGTCACCACCCAGCACTGGTGTCATGTCCCCTGGCAGAGCCAGCCAACACAGGAGGGGTGTTTAGCACCCAGGACCTTCCACTATCAGCTGCTGTTCACTGAGATGCTGATATGGGGTCACAGGAATGGCAGAGCTTGCTCCAGACAAAGCAGGCAGAGAAAGATCAGCTCAGCACCCCCCATCCCCAAGTGGGGACATGGGACTGATATCCAGGGCAATCACAGGGGCTCAGACCTGGTAGCAGCCACAGGCAAGGGGTGCATTGCCTCTTACCCAGGGTCCTGGGGCATGGGACACCCTAATAGTGAACCACTCTCACCTTCCTACTTCTTGGACTGAGGGAAGCAGCAGGCAGAAACCTTGCTGGCACCAAGGCTGCTGTGCTCCCTGAAGGGCCCTCACACTACCACTGTAATCAAGGCTGCATGTTCTGTTTCCATGTCACCTTGGCTCTACCCCCCTGTGCCCATGCCACCCTTGCTGTCATTCCAGGCTGGGTTCCCCAGCCCTGCCAAGCAGCCAGTACCCCCTTCCGAGTCCTGCTCTCTCCAGAGGAGCTATACCCAGCTTTATCCTAGAAAGGCAAGAGGCAGTTTTTGGATCAGACTCTTTGTTACGACGAGGCTGAACAGACCAATAAATAAATAAATATCCCTTGCCCACCCCAAAACGTGCACAAGGTCCCCATGCAAGTGCCCATCCCGGTGCCAGCTCTGGCACAGGCTGTGCCTCTGCCAGGGAGCTCAAGCCCCATGTGACCCTACAATAAGCAAGCCTGTGTGTGCAGCTCAGCCTATGCTACCAGGCACCAGGCACAGATGGTGGGAGGGAGCAACAGTGGAAATGCTCAAATCCAGCAGCAGGATGGGAGTGGGGTGACCGGGTCTTCTGGGGCTGTGTGGGTCTCTGTGCCCAGCCACAGGCATGTAATGGCTCCTCCAGTACAGTGCCCATCAAGCATCACTGTGTGCTCACTGGCAGGAGGCACCCCTGGGCCCCCTTTTCCACACTTTCTGCCTCCCCAAGGCTGGCAGGATCTGGCCCTGGACTCAAGACGAGCCCCAGGACTGGGGTGAACAGGCAGATCCTCCCTGCGGAGAGCCTTCAGGCCAAAGCCTCCTTCTCACAGGCCATGCAAGAGACCCCCGAGTCAGACAAGACAGTGGCACTTCCTGGTGTCTTCAGAGTGAGGATCGATGGATGCCTGCAGGGCAAGAGAGCATGCGAGGCCATAACCCCAAAACAGTGCTGGACTGGGCACCCTGTGGCATTGCCCTCCCAGCCCATCCTGGTGGACACTGGGGTCTCGCCTCCATTCCTGGCTTGAATGCAATCTCTGGGACAGGAGGGAGGGCAGCTGGCCTGGAGAGGGCCCCCTGCAGCTCCTGATCCAGCCACCCCTGTGGTCACCAGGGATGGGGTAAGTGAAAGCACCTTGACAGGGAAATGGGGAGAGGAGGGTTGTGTGTGTGACTAACACACACCACTCCCAGTCCCCTCCTGTCCAGAGCAGCTGGGCACTGCTGGGGGAACTGGTGGACACAGGCCTGTCCCAAGCCCATTCTCCACCACTACCCCAAAAAAAGCATCGTTACCTTTGGAAAGCAGCTGGGACCCAGGGCCAGCTCCCCCCTCCCCATTTCAGCCCTAAAGAGCTGCCACAGTGGGTGCAAGCACAGTGCCTGCCTATCACCAGTGAGGACTTGCCAGGCAGTGGGTGAGCAGAGCCAGCTGCAGGCAGTTGGGCAGCATGGTCCCAGTGCCACCTGAGAGTGAACCCTGTCCCTGGAGCAGGCAGTTTTGGGGCTGCTGCAGGTGGAGGGGTTGGGGGCCTCTGCCAGCCAGGGCCCATGGGTCAGCTGTGGTGCGCACATGGCTAGTCAATAGCAGCACGTCATGAGGGTGCAAGTGATCTGTCCCTTCTGTGTCCCCCAGGAATGGCACTGGAGGTGCTCAGATCGCAGGGTTTGAGGCGAGATTAAAAATAGACTTTTATCTTAGGGTGCATCACACCCCAAAACCCTCATCCAGCCCAAAGCCCAGAGACCTGCAAAACCTGCCTTCCACACACTGCTTGAATGGGAGTTTAGGGGGGCTGTCTTCATGGCAAATGTCCTCATCCTTCCTCACGGACACCAGGGATCCCCTGTGATTCTTGTGTACCCCAGGACAAGCAGCATCTGGGTCCTGCTGTCCCCACCTGTGCACCCAGCACTTCCAGACCCCAGCCCCAGCCTCCTTCATCCCCCAAGGCCAGTTTGGCTGGCGTGGAGGCAGGTGGTCTGAGCAGGGAGGTGGCCAGGTGCAGGTGACCCAGTGTCAGGGAGGGAACAGGCCCACAGTGACAGGGGACAGCGCCTACCTGAAGTGGAGAGAAATGGAGAGTGCAAGTGGAGAAAGACGGAGCGCCGTGGGCTAAGAGTTAAGAGCATCGATACCTGCGGGAGTGAGCACAAGGGCCTGGAGGACGTCAGAGAGGGAGACAATGCCCCGCGGGTACCGGTTCTCATCTACCAGAACCAGGCGATGGACCTGTGGGTGCAGGCAGAGCATCACGGGCAGGCTGGGCAGCTGGCAGGTGTGGCTGGTGCCGGCACAAGGCACCCCAGCCACTCACCTGCTCCTCGGCAAAGCGGTCAATGATGTCCTCCATGTGCTCATGGGGGTAGCAGGTGATGACCCCCTCCAGGCAGATACTGCGCTGCCGCAGTGCCTCTCGCACACTGATGTCCAGGTTGTTGTAGGTCTTCTGAGCTGCCAGGTGCTGTGGGAGGTGTGACCCCAATGTGTCCTCACACCCCGTTGTGTCAACGCAGAGGGGACACTGAGTGCTGGGGATGCACAGAGCAGATGTGCACTGGCATGTGCAGGACACTGCATTTGGGGTGGGTTTACACGGGCACAGATAAATGTGAACACCCCCTACCAGCACATGCAAGGGGCCACATTTTTGTCCAGGTGTGCAAACACACAGGGTACTCACAATGACATCAAACCGGGAGTACAAGCCAACCACTTGCCCTGCAAAGAGAAATAGTGCAGTAGCTGGGGAGGGGGCCTTGGGGATCATTTGCCATGTTCCTTACACACCCCAAGGGGCAGCCCAAGGGCCAGGAGAGGGCTTTTGGATGGGGATGGGGATGGAGCTGCTGACAGAGGGAAATGAGGGGGTCACTTTCCTCCTCCCCAGGTACCGGCATCATTGATGACGGGCAAGGCAGAGACACGGCGATCCACGAAGATCTCCAAGGCAGTGTAGATCGGGGCAGTCTCAGGCACGACAGCCAGGTCACGAAAGGTGCCAATGCGCAGCTCCTGCACTGTTTTTTTCAGGAAGCGTGGCTTGGGAATGGTAGAGCCCTGCAATGGGTCAGGGCAGGGCTTGGCTGGCATCTACACACATTTTGACACCTTTGTTTGTGCCCCTAGACACCTGCCATGTGTGTGCACACAGTCCCGGCACTCACAAAGATGTGGAGAAACTTGAGGATGCGCTTGTGCGTCAGGATGTGCAGGACATTGCCCGAGACAGGCTCGATGACAGGCAGGCGGTGGATTTTATACTTGATCAGGGAGTAGACAGCATCAAAGAGGCTGTGGGTGATGGGGACATCGTGGTGGGATAGGGCTGCAACACAGGCACACACACCCCCACCCCAAGGGGTGTACTCACCCCCAGTGGACAGGCTCTTACCTATTGCTTGGGGAGATGTAGACCAATGGCTTGAAGGAGCTCTGCAGGTACACCTCTGCCAAGGGAGAGAGGTGGAAGAGGGGGTCCTCCAGCCCTCTCATGCAGCCCCACAACCCCAGAGCTCACCTCCATGCCCTGCACAACATCTCCAGCCCAGCCACCCCTATCACCCATGATTTTTACCTCTCCATGTCTCAATCTTGTGCTCCTCCACCTCGTAGATTTGAACCTGAGGGCAGGGAAATGCTCTGTTCATGGAGGCTCCATGGGGGACTGAGGGCACTGTGAGACACTGCCCCCTTCCCCAGGCATCCCACCCCATCACCCTAAAAACAGGAATTACATTTTCAGTGCCAGGCAGAGGGGCAAGAAGCAGATGCTGCCCTGGCCCAGAATCATCCCCTGGTCACAGTCTAGTGATGAAGAGGAGACCAGGAGAGGTGGGGACAGCCCCTCCCTGGCCCATGTATGTCCCAATCCCCCATGCCCTCCCCACCGCACTCACCAGGGGTGAGCGGTAGTAACGGTGTAGGATGTTGATGAAGTCGGTGATGGTGAGCATCCCTGTGGAGACACGTGGGGCTGGCAGCACTGCCTGCACCCTAACTGCCAGGCCAGGGAGGGGGCCAGGCAGCACTGCTGGCACTCACCCACAAAGCTCTGTGTCTTGCTATCCCAGAGTGGGGCAGCGCGCACCCCATTGGCCACCAGTGCCACAAAGGCTTTCTTGATCTGCTGACAGAGTGGAAGGGGATCAGGGGGTCCCAAGCCTGCTCCTCCACTACCCATCCCCACTGATCCCCCGCTTTGCCACCTCCAGGGAGATGTCGAAGACGACAAGCTTGCAGCTGGTGGGGATGGCATCATAGCAGCAGTGGCTCCGTAAGAAGTGCATGTAGACCTCGGCGTCAGGGCTCTGAAACTCACTTTCTGGGCCCAGCCCCAGTATCTCATTTCCCAGTGTGAAGGTGACAGATCTCCTTTGCCTGTATTCTTCCTCCTCCTCTTCCTCCTCCCTGGGGCATAGGGCCTCCGGGAACTCTGCAGGAAAAGCCATCCCAGCCCCAGCCAGTGAGCTGAGATGCTGGGTCTCAGCAACTTCCTGCCTGGGGGGAGCAGGGGATGCTCCCAACAGAGTCTCCCTGTTCCCTACTCCACAGGGGCAGCACAACAGCACTGCAGTTCTCCAGCCTGGGGTGCACTTCAGCTGAGGAGTGGGGTTGACGAGGGGTATGGGCAGGGTGGGCAGAGGACTGATGTACTCATCACACGAGTAAGGCAGTTCCCCCCTCCTACACACCTAGGCTCTACCTGCTACCCACCTTCCTCCTCAGGGCAGGAAGCAGTGTCCAGCAGCGCCACCTGAGAGGGCACACAGCAAGGAGGGGTCAGCAGGAGTCCAGCCTTTCCCCCACCCGTGGATGCTGCTTGCATCCACCCGGCTACTCCGGCCCACCCAAGCCGGATAGAGAGGACTGTCCTTTCAGGGTGGGAATGTGGGCGGGGCCTAGCCCCCAGTCCCCTCTGGGCAGCCCCCTGCCAGTGCAGGATCCCCAGAGCCTGCAGTCTGCATGGTGGCTCCAGCCCAGGGCACCCAGCTTGTTTCCCTGCTCTGGGGGGTCAGTGGGGGTCCCCAGAGAAGGGCAGGACAGGGCATGAATGGCAGGACCTCCCGCCTTCTCTCTCTGCTGTTAGAGCCCAGCAGGTCCCACAGTGGCTCTGAGCCCATCCTCTCCCAGCCTCAAGGTGTAAATCCTGGTCTTGCTTCTTCCCGTGCCGAGAGCCTCGCCAGCCCCACCGGCTTCCCCCAGGGACCAGGTCGTCCCAGGAGACCTACAATAATGAGGGGGCAGTCCCAGAAGGGAGGTCACAGGGCCGGATGGCTGACCCCGTGCTCCCCAGTCCCCATGAGACTCTACCATAACACAGCAGCACGTGCAGAGGGAAGAGCAACCCCGGCCACAAACGTACCTGAC